ATATATATATATATATATATATATATATATATATCTATAACTCCCACTTTGAATAAAGACACGCAGCATAGAATAAATGCTGCACTATACTTCATTCTCAAACATTGACAAAATTCAGAGTATTGCTGATTGTAAGATTGTTAGCAATAAAGTTAATTGGTTTGAAACAGTTTCTCTTATAAAATCTTGGTTTTGGTTTAAAAATTGATGCCCCAGTCTTCCTGGAAAACTACTTGACCTACCTGTTGAATAAGCTGCACCATGTCAATCCTGTGAGCACTGAGTATATGTCTGCTGCTTCTCTAAAACTGGGACACAGGCTCCCTTTCTCTGCAACTTTATCCCTCCAACACAATATTTAGTTTCTCATGAGACTTTAAAGTGGTCTCAGGTAACCACTATTCTCTCTCTGAGAGGTCAACATTGTATTCAGACTTCAGTTCTGTTAGCAACAGCAAATCAGTACGACAGTAAATGTCCTAAATTTAATTTTAACACTCATTTTGCAAGGGCATATTCGAGTCTATCTTCAATGGAAAGACTGTTGCCTCTAATCATTCCATCAGTTTGTATACCCATACCTAGAGATGATTTAGATTTCAAAGTAAGTTTCTGCTTTTTGCCCTTTTAAATGATTGTTGAAATAACATTGCACAAAAAACTTGGGTTTGGATTGTTTAGCCATTTTCTTTAAAACCACTTGACTTATTTTCCCTAATGAAACACCAACAGTCTCATATAACAACTTCCTAATGTTAACAGACCCCCCATTGTCACATTTGGTGAAAACAGCAGCACTTATCTGCTGAAAGCACTGAAACCAAACTCCATATTCCATCCAATTTCAACCAAAGGTGAGTTAAATAAGAGCCAGGAGAAAGGTCATTACTTCAAGTTAGCTCATTTGTGGGCAGGTATAATTGGCTTATTTCATTAAATGAGTATATATGTTAACAGGGTAAACTTAATTGTTTTTAACCATCCGGAGCCAAGCACAGGCTTTTACAAGTATGAAAAGGGAGGACGTGTCAGCTTACCTACAGATATTCACAATGCAGTCCCCCCGAAACATATGACCTCTCACTGTAAGTTGATAAAGTCTGTTTCCCTCATTTGAAAAGATATGCTAAAGATGGGATCTACTTGTTATATGGAATAGCTGAAATTTTGCATTTAAATTTAGAAATTAAGAATATAACGATTAAGAAGTGTATGTAAAGAAGCAAACATTTATTGGTCAGAGCAACAAAAACTGTGGATAACATGTCAATAAATAACAAATCCCTGTCCCTCTTTTGGAGCGATGCCAACGGATCCTCTCAGGTTACCCAGCTTTAATGTTGAATGAGAAGCGCCAGTTGCCAAGTTACCAAGCACCCTTTGCCGAGGTGCTGAGACTATAGCATAGATGATTCCATTCATAATTGAGAAGATTATGCAGGATGTTCAAGAGCATTCCAGCATGGCAGAAACAAACAATGGAGCTATTCGTTTTAGGCTGCACCAGGGAGGGGAACAGCACAGGAACAAGACCTCTTTAAAATGAAGGTTGCGTTAACCTGTATTAGTCAGTAAACTTTTTAAAAAAGGACGATTGAAATGTTCTTGCTGCAAATTGCCTAAAGTTTTATTTTTGTTTTGAAATAGGTTTTATGATATAGTTTCTATTCTGATTTTAAGGCGCACCTGAAAATAGCATATTACATTAAACAAAGGCATGATAAAATGTATTGCATATCTCAAAAAAAAATTGAGAAAGTTGAGTAGGTCTTACCTTGATTCAGGGTGTGTGCTGCTTCGTCAGCGGCTCCTTCTGCTCTGTGCTTCCTCCCTGCTCCTCTCACTGTCACATCCAACTCAACCCTCCTCCCTCCCACTGTCAGTCACTTTATTCTTCACAAGTTGTGTTGCTGTACCATTCGCTTGGCACAGCTGAATGTATGCACCATTCCCAAAAAAATAAAAAATATATAATTCTGCTGCAAATACCAGAAATAGTAGAAGTGTTTGGTATGCGTAAGATTGATATGGATGATATGCTTTCAAACCCAATTTGAAATGCCATCAATCAGAATCAGAATCAGAAATACTTTAATAATCCCAGAGGGAAATTATTATATTCTGATATCCCAATTATTTTTATAAGCAGATAAAAACAATGAATGTTTCATCTCAAATTAGTAAAAGTAGTAGAATAACCGATCTCTGACTGAAATTCTTTTAGTTTTGTGTGTCAATTCACAAAAAACTTGTGCATTTGGTACCTTTTCCCTGTAGCTGTCTTTTCTGTATTTGACCACTAGATGTCAGCAAAGACAAAGAATCAAATCAAGGATGCTGTATTGACTTTGTGTTAATCCCATGAAAATTATTCATAAAGTGCATATTGAAGTTAAATTGTATAACACTTGATGAGTAAAAAAAGAGAAGAAAGAGCAATGCATTAACAATCCAATTAAGACGCAATGAAACACTGTGGACATAATCAAGTGTAGGATCCACTTGAATCAAATGCCAAGGAAGAAAAAGCAGATTCTTAAGAGCATCGTGATAGTTTTCTCAGTTCTAAGCACCACTTATAGGAATCAGTAGGTTGTTCCAGGGATTAGCAGCAGCGACTTCAAATACACAAGTACCTCTGTTTTTATGTTTGGATCTCAAAACAGCTGGACACACTAATTGGTCCAATTCTGGCATTAAAGGAGGCAAAAGTTAGAAAAGGTGGATCAAGAGACAACATCAGTGAATTGTTGAAAGTGATTATATGAACCCTTTGTAAAGAAAGAAAATAAATCAACCCCTAAATTTTCTCTTGTTATCATCGCTGTCAACAAGCAGCAAGGAAAGAGTCCCGTTTTGAGAAGGCAAGAAAATAAGATATCAGTCCTTTGAAATTCCTTGTTGTGATGGTACCGTGGTTTATTTAATTGCGGTTATAAAAATCTAATTACTTTCTATATGCGTGGAGGCTGAAGACATCTCAGAGGTAATCAATTAAAT